GTATGGGTTTGAATTATATCTATTTCATTTCCTGTTTACTTTAGAATATTATTTTGAAAGAATTTGCTGCATTATGATTACTATATATTTAAATACAATAATATAATTAATTTACAAACACAAAATATTTGCATGTATTTTATTTATAAATGTATTTGTATAATTAAATATTTAGAGGTCTTATGCAGATTTTAATACCCGGAACGTATTTTATTATTCAATTATTTAATAATATTGTAATTCTACTGTAGATATACAATAAATGTAAAATATTCTATTGTTTTTGTTATACAGAAAAGTAAATAATAAAAAAATTAAATATTACATAAATTTTTCTGCATATCCTTTAATAATTTTCAAGGATTCTCTTTTTCATTCTATTTCTATTTTATATGTATTGAAGATTGCATGCTTTTAAAAAATTTACTAATGTGAATTAGATATATGTATATGAAATAAGAAAGGAAAAGGACAAATATATTTTAAGGTATAATGAATTTTTTTTCTTCCTGCATATCCTTTAATACATAATTACTCATACATATATAATATTGCTTTAATATAATATGTACAAAAAAATATGATTCATTAAAATTTCTATTTCCTCTGTACATGCTTTAAAAGGATATTTTCTTTTTCTACTATTACTTTAAAATATTTATTTATTTTGTAGTTTTTTTATATAATTTTATATTTATATGATATGAATATTATTTTTTTACTCAAAATCTCCTTTTTATTATGTTCACATATATATTTTATTATCAATCCTCTCTAAAATTATATACTTGAGTACATACATTAGTTAAGGACAAAAGAAAAAATTATTTAAGGTTAAATTTTGGAAGTCAACAAAAATGGAAAAAATGTGCTCCATTAAAATTATGCTATTATTTGTTTTTATTTTTATGCAATAATCGTAGGAAGATTTCATTATGTAATAATGGAACGATACATAAATTTTAGAATAATTTGGCGGTAGTTTTTTTACTTCTCTCAGATGTTAACTATTTATCTAATTATACGCTATTTACTATTATATATCTATTTATGAAGAATATATTTACGATTAAAGATATAATAATCATAAAAGGGTATTCAAGTTTAACAGAATAATATAAAAAAATAATAAGGAATTGCTTTTAAATTTTGATTATTTATAAGAAAATCTCATAGTTGTTAATAATTTTTATGATAAATATTATCATTTATATTTTGTTTATTAATCGTATCTCTTCAGGTGATGGGATATTCTTGAAAAGTATTTTAGTTTCTAGTATAGAATTTCAAATTTCTAAAATGATTTTATTAATGGAAAACTCAAAAATTATGAATAACAAAATATCATGTCAAGTTATGCCAATTCTACAGTATTTCAATTAGTTTTAGTTTCAAATTTGAATTTAATCAAAAATATTTTTTATTATTTTTGTGAAAAACTATAGTCTATTTAAATAAAATTTCAAATTATCTTAAATTAATCAATTATCTTCATTATGCACCACTTGATTATGAGGTAGTTTTTTTTTTTTATAAATTTTAAAATTTTATATTAAAAATCTTGATTCTTCTTGAAATCTTGAGTATTCACAATTTCACATTTTCTCAAAATTTTTTTGCCTTAGTCAATTTATATGTGATTACAAAATTATATTAAGGTTTTCAATATAGAATTTTTTAATTTCAAACTAATTTTTAAAGTTACAACAAAGCATTTGAATAATATTTAATCATTTCAAGTGACCCTTAACAAAAACGTCATGTCTTTGCTCAAGATTCATACTAAAATTAAATCTAATGCATTCAAATCATTAAATTTCTGCTTTTATGAATTGGATTTTTTCAAAAAAAAAAAAAAAAAAAAAATTATCTTGAAACACTAGATTATTAAAATTGCTCCTATTAATTTTATTATTACTTTGAATATTCTATAATTTTATGTGATTCATCTTAGCAAATATGAATGAATAAAAATCTAAATTAATTCTAATAAAAAAAATTTAATAAATATGCTGAAAAGTTTTCTAAAATAAAAAGAAATAAGAAAAAATTCTTTGTTTTTTTTTTTTTGAAATTTTAAATAAACATTTTTATTGTTTTTTTTTTTTGTTTTCCTTTGCATTTTTTGTTTTTGTTTTTCTTTTATTCAATAAGAAGTTTCTACTTACTATTTCTAAATATGAATATAATTTTATATACAGCCATTTTAAAATAATTTTTTTTTTTTTTGTTTTATGTAATATAATATAAATTTTAGTTTTATTATATTAATAATTAATAAGAGTGTTGTATAAAATACGTCTTTTCTTTTCTTTTAAATTTTTAAATATATATATATATATTTTTTTTATTTAAAAGTATATAATATATATATGTAAATATAGATTTAAGTATAATATTATATTGTACATCACATTGTACGTACACAATATTATGTAATGTAATATATAATTTCCGTGAAAGTTTTCTCTTAACTATTTATTACTTTTATTTTATTTGTTTGCATTTATTGTATTATTAATTTTTTTCTCTTTTCTTTTTTAAATCTCTTAAAACTAATTATTTTTGAAATTGTTAATATTAAATTTGTTTTGTTTTGTTTTTTTTTTTAAGGTGATTTTAATATAATAAATTTTTTATATACATTTTTAATTGTTTTTGTAATTTTTGTTTAATTTCGCTTTTTGTTTCCTAACATACAAACTATATAATATTTTTATAAACTAACTATTAAAATATAACCTCTCAATATAACGTTAGATAATTATTATTAATTAATATATATTTTTTTTATATATAATATTATATAATATTTTAAAAATTTTATGTGTGTTTCTTCATTTAATAGTGTGGTTCTTTATAAATTTTTTAATTATTACGTTTTTTTTAAAGAGTATTATTAAAAATAATTAATTATTATATTTTAAATATTTTATTTCATTGTAAATTTATATTTGAATTCGAATACCATATTCTTCTATATAATAAAACATCAAATTTAAATTAAAGTTTATAATTTGTTTGTTTCTCTTTTTTAAATATAAATTCATTAAATAGTGGACTAAAATACAAGAAAAAAAAATTAAAAATATAAAAAATACTCATTACAAACAAGATACTAAAATACACTATCAAAGATTAATTAAATTTTAAGAATAATTATGTAAAATATTTTTTTTTAAATTTTATATTTTGTAATTTTAATTTTAATTACTTTAAGTTTCAAATATTTTATTACATAAAGTTTTTTTTATTTACCTTTTTAAAATGATACATTCTATGGTAATTAAATAGTATTATTATTAGTAATATATTATTAGTAATCAAGAAATTTAAAATAAATTTGAAAAAATGATTTTTCATTTCTAAAATAAATTTGAAATTATTTGAATTGTTCATATAATGAAATTTTAAAAAGTTAAATTAGTACAATATTATTTATATTATTTGAAAAAGTTTCAAATTTTATTATAGCTTTAAACAGAAATTAAAAAAAGAATTGTAAAAATATTTTCATTTTAATTTAATATTGAGATTTTTCTGATATAATCTTCTGAAAGATATAATTTCAAAGTAAAAAGAAAATAAAAAAAACAAAAATAAACTATAACAAAATGTTAAATTAAAAAATTCAATTAAATTTCAAATTAAGAATATTTTTAATATTTTAAATATTTATTTAATTATATAGATATAATTTTTTAAAATTTTATTTCTGTACCATTTTTGTTTTTGTATCAAATTATAAAACAAAACATGACTATTAAACAAAGGTAAATATATAAATATATTTTTGAATAATTAAATTATTCATAGTAATTATATTTATTATTGAATTATTAAATAATGAATATTATTTTAATACATATTTTAATTTTCAAATAAATAATTTAATAATAATATTCTATTTAATTTTATTTTTTGTTTTGTATTAAGAATTAAGTAAATATATTGTAAACCCAAATATTAAAAAAAAAAAAATTTTATTGCTTTACACTTACATATATTATATAAAATTTTAATTACATAATTAAATTATAGTAAATTATAGTTGGGAATGAAAAATTTTTTTAAAAACACTAAATATTTTAAAGAAGAAAATAAGAATTATTTAAAATGTTCAAAAACATAAAGAAATTAAATGGATTTTAATTGATCAACATTTTGAAATTAATTGTTATCGAAGCTAATTTTTAAATATGAATTAGATTAAATTGAATTGATCACAATTTGCAATAATATTGAAATTTAATATTATTCTTCATTCGTTTAACTATAATTTATGATAATTTAATTAAATTTAATATTGTAAATTCATTTATTTTGTTACAATATATTTCTTTATTACTATATTATTTAAATTGTTGAAGGAGAAAATTATTATTTTTTTAGTGTATGATATTAAATTTTTTAATGATAAGTTAATTCAAAAAATACATGGTATGTATAGAAAAAAATCAATGAACGTATTTTAATTTAATATAATTTTGGTTTTATTATTATTATTATTATTATAGTTTACTTGATATGTAAATAATATTGTAATCCACGCTTGCTTGAATTCTTTTAAAATTAAAAATAAAATAATTTTTTTTTGTATTTTATTTTTTTTTTTTTTGCTTTTGTATGAATATAATTTCAATTTATTGATTGCGATTAATTTCTAAGTTGTAAAATTTTTTTATTGTAATATTAACAAAAATTTTGGTTATAATTTAGAAACCAAATTCTTATGGTTATGATTATTTTACATGATGTTACGTCTTTAATTAAATTAATAATTTTTGAAATTATTTTAAAAAATTAATTTGTTTAATAAATTTTTTTCAAAAACATAAAATAGTCGTTATTCCTATAACAATTTGGAAATAAAAAAAAAAATAATTATAATTATGAATAATTTTATTATACCTGAGTTAAAATCAATGTTAATTTTTATATTTTAATAAATTAAATATAATGTAATTAATTAAAGTTAAATATTTTTATACTATATTATGTATTTGAATGCACATCCATTCCATGACATTTAATATAAATTTTCTTATAAATGAAAATAATTATTAAAACTACACAAATAAAATTGTGTATTTTTTTTTTCTTATTTTTCTAATGAATGAAAAAATTAATTTTAACATTATTTTCAAAAAAACAAATAAAATCATTTTGAATAAATCAACTAACTAAATTTTTGCTGTGGTATTACTGTTAATGATTTTGGTATACGTGATAATAAATTACTATCTAAAAATGGTCCTGAATTTGAATTATTATTATTGGCAGTTTGCGATTGTTGTTGTGATTGATGTTGCGACTGTCTCATTTGCGGTGGTTGATGAGATGATTGCATTTGCTGATGTTGTTTTTGTTGTTGTTGCTGTTGATTTCTTTGTAAAAATTGTTGTTGCTGCTGTTGTTGTAAACCAGTTGTAAATGATTTAAAACTATCAAGAAAATTTTTATTTTGCATATTAAAATTAAAATTATTTGGCTGATTAATTGGTGCCATTGATACAACATTTGGAAGCGATGGTAATATTGATATGGATGTTGTCATTGCATTATTATTCATTGGTAATGGAAGTGCTGGTAAATTACCAGTTGCGGATGATATTGGTAATATTTGAACTTGATTTTGTAATGCTTGTTGCGGTTTAGGAAGAATTTTTAAGAAATTATTAGCTGCAGCTGCCGCTGCTGCTGCTGCTGCAGCAGCTGCTGATATTTTCATATTTGATTGTTTTGTAATATTATTAATTAATGAATTGACATTAGATGATGTTGTTAATGATGATGTAGATGGTGATGATAATGAAGATGTAACAGATGGTGGAGGTGGTGGTGGTGGTTGTTGTTGTAAAGTAGCTATATTAACTGGCTTGATTTTATTTAAATTACTATTGTTTTGTTCTGAAAATCTACGATTTATTTCATTTGCGATTAGTTGAGCTCTAGATGTAGCAGCTTGATCATTCTGTTGTTGGTGCTGATTTTTTTGTTGTTGTTGTTGTTGCTGTTGTTGTTGTTTGTTTATCAACAAGGATTGCTGATTTGTATTGGATTGTTTCTTATGACTTCCACCACTTTGACTTTTAGATAATTGTTCTCGAAGAAGTTTTTCTCTTCTAAGGATACACATTTTATTGTAGTCATGTATTGTTATCAAGTAAGGCTTGCCACCTGATTGAACTTGAACAAGACCCGGTAATCGACGACCGTCAATTGTTTGATACAATATATCAGGTTGATTTTTATATTCTTCCTTTTTCAAAGTCATTAAAGTCGGTCGCCAATTTTTACTTGTCGCTCTTTCGTAAGGTGATAGTGTATCGGGTAAGACAATAATATTAGGCCGATAACTTTCATTATTATTTGCGGATCGATTAGTATTGTGACTATTTTTATTTTGAGGGGATTTTTGTTGACTTTGATTATTTAAAGATTGTTGTTGCTGTTGTTGATTCGTTTGTTGCTGATTCAATTGTGGCGATTTGTGTATTGAAGATTGTTCATTGTTTTGTTGTTTACCATCCAAATTTATAGCTTGTGGTTGTTTATTACTTGTAGAAGGAACACTTTGTGAATTTGTACTTTCTGTATTATTACTGTTTTTATTAGGCATATCAGCAGAACTATCGTTTTGAGATGTTACCGTCGCCGTAACTGACATATTCTGTTTCGAGGTATTTGGTTTTGATGCTCCTATAGGAAGGATTTCAATACCACTTCTGTTCCCCTGAAGCAAATGTGACTTTAATAAACTATCAACTGAATTATCTTTTAAGGCATCTATTGGTAATTTTGGTTTAGGCGTAATTGTTATTGAACTTGACAATTGAATAGGAAAATCATTTTCAGCAATACGAGATTTTTTGCTAACTACTTCAAAGGACGAATCTCTTGCGAATTCATCTTTAGACATGCTGTCGTATGCCCTAAGGCGATTTTGTATAGCATTTGTATATGTTACAGCATTATTATTAGCAGCTGTTGTTAGCATCAGATCACCTTCGCGAAAATGTTTTTCTAATAAAAGTAAATGACGAATGAAACTAGATTGGTTCCCATAGGGTTTTTGTAATTTTTCCCACAATTTCCGGGTTGGTTCATCATATTGTAAAAATGTTTGAACTCGAGTCCATCCTTCAGGTGTGCGACTTGACAATGCTGCATTGCCAAATGGAATTTGAGCCTGTAATTTAATTATTATAAAATTTATATTTATTAAACAGTGTAAGAAAACTAAACTTACATTTACATTTAAAGTATCTTCTCCAGGTAGTTTTAATATTCTTTTTGGAGTACTGCTGTTACCACTTTTTAATGTAATTGATATATCTGAATTAGACCCAAGATATTGTTGACCTTTATCGTGAATCTCATTTTCGAGCATCGATCTTAATTTAGCGTATAATTTTGGAGGAGAAGAAGTATCAGAATTATTTTCATCAGTTTTATCCATTGAAACGTCGTTATGTTCACTGTCATCAGCTTGACTTTCTAGTTCTTTTGTAGGGCTATCATCATCAATAGTTATGACTTCCGTTACGTTTGAAAGATTTCTTAATTTGAGTAGTCTGTTAAAATCAATAATTTTTTTTGCTTAATAAAAATTATTTTACAATTTCAAAAGAAATCATTTACCTCTTTTTATAATTATTAATGAACTGTTCTCTTTCCGGTTGTTCTCCAACTGGAGGTTTCATAATTAAATTCGTAAAATATCGGCAGAGTCTACAAATTGCAGTGCTACTTCCAATTTGAATTCCGATGTTATAAGTGTTTAATATTTTATCAAGTTTCTGCGGTTCTTGTATATGATACATATGTGATTTACCACATCGTCTTTTACACAAAGCACATCCTAAATACTGTGCAAAAGCTTCATAATGATCTGAGCAAATTGGTAATATACTTCCAAAATCTGACATATTGAAATTTTTCATTAATTTTTTTAGAACTTTTCTAACAGATTTTTTACGTAGCCAGTGATTTGCTGAATTACCACAATTGGGAATACAACAATTTTTATGAGATATTTGATTATCTACAGAACAATTGCCATTATCTTCGTTATTGTTTTCTAATGCTGCAGGAGCTGAAAGTCTTTTTCTATATGATGGAACATTTGCTAATTTATCAACATGTCTAAAACATGCGTCACATAAACAACTATCGACCGATAATTTGTCTTCATCTAAAATAAAATTATAAAAAAAAAAATAAAATTTATTGTCATTATTTTTTTTTAAATGACAAATGTAATTTTTGCTTACTTGATAAAATATTTTTCTGTCTGTCTATTGATTTTAATTGAGCAACATGACATGGAGTGTCTAACAAGCCGAATTTACCACCGCAATATGTACACTGATCCTGGCAAAGTCTTTCTGGATGAATACCAAAGGAAGATGCTTTCTCCGGCACCAAAATATTTTCCTTTTCCTCTTTTTTATGTGATGAAGTATCTCCTCCATTCTCGTTCTACAAAAAATCAGCAAATAAAATCGTAATTTCACAGAACTCAAAAAAATCTTTACCTCATTTTGAATTTTATAATTTATTTCTTCGCTATTTTTATTACTGGTTCCATTTTGATTTGAAGTTTTTTGGAAAGTTATTTTTAAAGATTGACGATTATCTTTATTCTTATTTGTTGTTGCTGTAGCTGGTGATCTTCTTTTCCTTTCTAAAACACCAGCACAATTGGATTGAATTGTTTTAATACTATATGTAGCACTTGCTGGATCTTTTTCTTTTTGTTTTAGATTACCAAGAAACTGTTGTTTTCTTCTTCTAAATAAATTCTGTCTTTTCTGTTCTTCAGTTTTAGCTTGTGCTGCTGCTTTCAATGTTAAAAGACCAAGTGCCTTTAAATGATTTTCTTTACGATCAGCTTCTGGAGTTTCTGGTACTTTAGATGAGCACGTTGCTGTAGCATCTTCTTGACAAATTGTAATATGAAGTTTTGGAATTGTTTCATTACCTTTTTCATTCATTGTATTAGTTGATTCTGTGCTGCACTCATTTGATTTTACTCTTTTAGAACGGCGGTCTCTTGCTATTTGTTCACTTGTTTTAGTATTATTATTACCTTCAGTGGATTTTCTTCGTTTAGGAGGTCTTCCCAACTTACTTGTTATTTTTAAGCTTTTCTTATTTATAGATAAAACAATCTCACCAGTTTTATCTGAAATTTGACCGTTATCTTCTATACTACCCGTTTCGTCAGTTTCTTCATTTGTTTCATCTTTCGGTACTGAATTTTCTGAGTTTTCTTCTTTATCGCCATTTATGATTTCTTTAGCAGAATTTTCTTCATTGTTTGTTTTATTACTTGCAGTGTCTTCTTCATCTGAGTTATCTGGTTTCTTTTTCAAATTGGATTTTCTTGTTGAGTATCTTCTTTCCGGCTGAATTTGTTCATCTTTCTTCTTTTCATCAACGAGCTCCTTTTTTTCTTCTATTTTGGTTTCCCTAGATTCCGTTGAATACCTTGCTTTAGGAATTTTTGTTGTATTTTTTTCTTCTTTTGTCGATTTTGGTATTTCTGAACTTAAAACCTTTGCAATTTTTTCTTCTTTTATTTCCTTCTCAAAATCCAACTGATCTTTCACTTTTGAAGTTTTTGCTGTTTTTGCAATTGTTTCTTCTGTTATACTTATAAGTTCATTAGCTTTACGAATTGTTTCTGCAGCAATTTTAATTATTTCTGAATCTACAGCTGTAGCTATTGATGTTGATTCATCAGTTTTATTATCATTTTGAATTGCTATTCCATCATCTTCAAATTTTAAAGTACCTTCCTTTAGAGAGACTTCGTCATCTTCAATTTCGATTGTATCTTGATTTTTTAAGGCATCCTTTGATTTGTTTTCCTTTTCTTTGTCTTGGATTTTTGATTTTTCTTTTTCATTTGGTTTATCAGAAACTAGGACATCTTTTAATACATTTTCTTTTGATGAACTATTGGATTCTACAATATCATCAGTCTTTGGTTCGCTTTTAATTTCAATAAACATTTCTTTTGTATTTTTTTTGTCATTTTCGGAAATTGACTCAGAGTTTATTTTAATAATATTTCCTTCAGGTTTAACATCCTTATTTTTAGATTTTTCTCTTGATTTAACATTTTCCGCATTTTGTAGTTTGGAAATAACAGCTTCTTCATTTTCTGTTATTTCTTCATTTTTGATCTTATCTTGCTTATCAAAAGATTTTGAATTATGTTCTAAAATATCTTCAGTCTTAAAAGCGGTTTTTTCATTTGCATTAGGGCTTTCATTTGCAGTTTTTTTGACATCATGCTCTACCTCGTTTTTCGTAACATTTAAATGTTCGTTAGTTCGAGTACCTGTACTTTCACTCTTCATTTCTACTTTATTTTCCTCATCGTTTGCTTTATTACAAGTTTCAACTTCTGCTTCTTTTGCTTTAGAACCATCCTTATTAGTTTCTTTTATAGTTTTGATATCATCTTGATTTTTATCTGAAATTATTTCAATATATTGGAGCACTTTTTGTTGTACATCATTCTTTTTGCCTGATACATCTTTGCCCGGCTGATCAATTTTATCCAATTTTTCTTCAGTTTTATCGGAATCATTTTGAAATTCTTCAGTCTTTTCTTCATTTTTTTCTAACTTAATTTCAGTTATTTCTTTTTCCTTGACCTCAGCATGTTTCTTTTCTTCAGTTTTTTCTACTTGCTCTTCTATTTCATTTTGCGAAGAATTCTTTAATTTATTAATTTGTTTTTCTTCCATCTCTGCTTTTAAAATATTTTTACTTTCTTTTTCTATTGTGCCATTTTCATGTTTGCTGCTTTCGGAAGCTTTTATTGAATTTGAATTTTCTTCAATAATTTCATTCTCAACGACTTTTTTAGGTTTATCATCAATTTGTTCTGAATTCACTGGCTTTTCATTTGATTTCGAGGCACTTTTATCAAGCAATTCCTTTACTAATTGTTCTTTATTTTCGGGTTTCCTTTCTGAGATACCTGCTCCTTTTTTTATCTCGGAGTCCTCATTTTTTTCATTTTCGTTTGAATTTTCAGTCTTTTTTCCAATATCTTTTTCAGGATTTTGTTCAACTTCTTCATCTTTACAACCATTTGTGGGGGTTTCTGAAGGTTGCTTCTTACAATCTTTTGAAGACTTATTTTCCTCAAATTTTTCACATATTTCTATAGGCTCTTCTTCATTTTCTAAAGAGTTTTTAACTAGTTTTGTCTTTTGTTCTTCATTTTCAACGGAGATTTTTTCTTTGTTCTTAGATTCCTCACTTTTATTCTCTAGATCTTTTACAGAATTTGCTATAAGTATTGTATTCTTAGGAATGTCTTTCAATATTTCTGTAGACTTTTTAACGATTTCTTTAGATTTATTTTCACTTTCGGAATTATTTTCAATCTTGCTGGTGCTTTCATTTTTATTTTCTGTAGAGTTGTTTGATGTTCCTGTAGAACATTTTTCATTTTCTATAGGAACCTTTATTTCCTGATCATTTTGTTTTTCTTTTTCATCAGATTGCTTTAAATTTTCTAAGGATGGCTTTTCAATTTCAGTTTTCTGAATTTTTTTATCATTTTCAATTGCATTTGTTTCTGTTTTTTGCTCAGAATTTTTGGCTTCTTCAGATTTTTCTTTCAGTTTATCACCCTTTACTAATTTAGTTAGAGTTTCAAGTTTTTTATTAATAGATCTTCTTAGAGTTCTTACTTCTGTTCTTGGCAAAATAGAAAGTGCTCTGTTGGTTCTAGGTGAAGCGCGAGGTGAAACTTTTGGTTTCGTTAATTGTTTTGTTTTATCATCTTCAGAATCTATTTTAATTTCTATTATTCCTGTTTTATCTTCGCTAGATGCATTAGAAGTTGATGAAATAAGGCTTTCCGTTGATTTTTTGTTCTCTTGCAACTTGTAATCTTCTTTTATAGTACTTTGAGTATTTGTAGTTAGTTTTGCTTCATTGTCATTTTCTTCATTTTTTTTTGTTATTTCTTTCGTTTTTATATTTTCATCTGTTAAATTTTCATTGGAATTAGAAACATCATTATTTGAAGGCACATTTGGTATAGTAGCATCTTGGCTAGTTTCATCAAGGTCAGTTGATTCGGTTTCAGTTTTAGGCACATATCGTCCTCTCTTTTTTGTAACTTTTTTTAACAATTTTTCTTTTACTTTTCGAGGTGATGTTATTCTTCTTGCTACAATTTTTTCTTTTAATTCAATTTTCTTTTTAGCTTGTACTTTTTCAATAATAGGATTTTTAATACCACTTCTAAGTTCTTCTTTAACTTTTTTAAGAGGTCTACCTCTTCGAACAACTTTGGTTTTAACGGCAATAACTTTTTTAATTTGCTGTCCTCTTGTTGAACTTTTACTACGTGACTCAACATTTTCTTCTACATCATCATTGCTTGTCTTTTCTGATTTTTTATTTTCAATTTTCTTTTTTGTATCCGTGGAAGTTTCTACTGATACATTAGATTCACTTTTTGCATCATTACTATCATCAGAATGTCCAACAATTTCTTTAACAATATCAACAAATTTTGGATCATTTTCTATACCACGATTATTAATTAAAAATTCAGGTTTTGATTCAATTTTTGTTTCACCATCTTTTGTTGTTGCAACTGATATACCAGAAATACTTGATGCATCATCATCTTTTGTTAATATCGAATCTTTTGAATCCTCTTCAATATCCCTTTCAGGGTCATCAGCTGATGTTTTTGCTTGATTTTTCTTTTTCTTTTTATATTTTCTAGTTATAATTTTTTTTGATGTAGTTACAGAAGAAGACTCACCAATATTTGTATTATTTGATTTTTCTATTTGTTTTTTATTATTTTTTATGTTATTCTTTGAAACAGCTGATTCTTGTTCAGATTTTGTTTTTTTATCAGATTTATCACTGCAAAATGAATCTTCACGTTTTCTTTTACCAGGTACAACAAGTCCTTTCGTAAGATCTGTATCCTTATTTTCAGGTGATGTTGTTGCTTTTCTTGGTAATTTATCTCTTTTTGGCATAACTGTTATTTTTCTTACAGCTGTTTTGGTATTATTATCCTTATTATTTGATTTGCCGGTGACAGTGAAAAAATCAATAATAGTCTTTGGTTGTGTTGTTGTTGGGGTTGTTGTTGGTGTCGTTGTTGGTGTTGTTGTTGTTGACGTTGTTGTTGTTGTTGACGTTATTGTTGTTGTTTTTTCATTATCTTCTGATTTTGTATCTGTACATAATGTTTCACTTGTATTACATTTTTTATCATTTGAATTTAATGAACTTGAACCATTTGTTGTAGTTGTATCGGTTATATTTGATTCTTCTTCATTTTTTTCATCTAATATTGTGGTTGTTGTTGCTGTAATTGTTGTTACATCCGTTGAAGATGTTGATACTGTAACTGTTGAAGTTTCTATAGAATTTGATTTTAATTCTGTTGTTGTTGCTGTTTTATTACATAAAGCAGGAGAATCTGCTTTTAATTTATTTGTTGATTTCCGAGTTGATGACATTTTTATAATATTGTACTAATATTCATAAGATTATTTAATAAATTCGTACTGGTTACTAAAAATAAAAATAAAAAAAAATTAAATTATGAGATATTTTAGTAAAAAACCAAATAATTTATAGAAATACTTTTAATCATATTGATATCCTTTTCTATTCAGTAACTATTTAATTTGTTGATAGTATTAAACTTGCTAAAAATAATACAAAAGTAAAAGTAGATTCTAAAATTTTCATATCCCCTCTAGAATTCCTTATTAAAAAGTAAAAGCTAAAATATTTTTTCTATAATAATTTTATTTCAGTAGTAATTTCCTAGAATTTAGACCTTACTATATATATATGTAAGTAGGTCCTTTTCGATTCCTTACAGAACAAAATTAGTTATGTTATACCTTTTTACAAAAGTTTAATTGTAAAACTATGAAAAAATATGTGAAAAATAGGAGCTTTAACTATAATTACATACCCACTATCATAACTAAATGGCTACGTAACAAAATTTCAAAGAAAAAATTGTTAAATACAATTATGTATGTTATTATTTTAGGTAGGTGCTTATGTAGGTATTTCGATTAGGTATCTAAGTATTTATTTTTATTGTTCTTTTTGTACAATATCCTTTCCTTAAAATAGAAAAATAATATTGATTTTAAAACATACAAAGAGAAGAAAAATTAAGAAATATGAAATGAAAATGAAAAAAAAAAAAAAAGCAGAAAAATAAAAAAAAATTCTATTATTATCCTCTTTTTTCTCTATTGTATTGTATATACCTACTAACCGAACTAGAGATAGATAGATGTAAAAAAGAAAAATTTAAAACATAAAACTTTCTATATCTTAAAGATATTTTATTTATGTTTTATAAATCAAAGGAAAATTAAAATAAAATTTCTTGTTTTACATTTTTCATTGAAATTCAAAATACATAACAGAATAATATGTAAGTTGGTATGTATATGTATATATGTTAGTTATTATTTATTTTGTTATTATGTGTACTAACACAAAAATAACGATGTAAGAAAGTAAATGAACATTCTAGGTTGGAAAACCGGAAAGGAAATTTTTTTATTTTAATGTTATGCTTTTATATATTGGTACTCATAAAACACTTATTTAATATTTCTGAAAAATAAATAAGAAAATAAATAAATGGGTAAATAAGAACAATTATATAGGTAGCATACAAGTATATATATAAGTATATATATAAAATAAAATTAAAATATTAAATAAATTTTGTGTGTAATTAAATATTGATATTATATAAGGTAAACTAACTAGCTTTCATTTATATTTCACATTAAAATATTAAAAACTATAATGGAGAAGTAGGTTATTAATTTGTTAGTAAACTAGTTAGGTAGAATGGTTTCTTATTTATTCACCTAAACATAAGAGAGTTATGTAGTTAGGCACCTATTTATATTTAAATATCTATGAAAATTTTTGTTTATAAAAATAACAATTTGATTTTTAAAATAGCTTATATAAGTCATTAGAAAATATCTAAGGTAAAATGGAGAAGTGAATAAAGTAATACACTGATTTTTAAATCGGATAACATAGGAGATTCTTGCGGTACCTACATATTTTCATATTTTATTGTGGGTAAGTAGTTGCCTACATTCTTAAATATTGAATTTAATATGAACTAAGTGCAAAATACGGAAATAGTAGATCGGTGCTCATGACCATGAAAATACACTAAAAAGGATACAATATAAGATTGCTACACAAAAAAAAAGTGTTTAAAGTTGAATGTAAGGTCCAATGTAATCGTTCCAATTTTCCTAACGGGTTAATTTTACTATAGAAATCATTTTAAATTTATAATCCTTTTGCAACAACTTATATATTCCAATATCTATTATTTCTTAGATCAATATTTGACTGTTTAAATTGGTATATTGTAAATGGTACAATGAAATTTTGGCTATTTTTATTGTAAGTGGTATATTTTTCCCCATATTTTCTCGATAATATCTTTTTCTTGATTCACGTGCGCCTATTACAATTTGAAACTAATCTTGATTATCCTGTAAAATAGGTAATATAATTATCTCAGTAGATAAATTATTATAAAAATTTTTTATTAAAATTTCTAAGAGTATCCTGTATTGAACAAAAATTTCATATATTCTATTATCCTGTATTGAATTATAACATGCAAAATACATATTATTGTTGTTTAATCCTTATGAAAACTCTATGAATAACAGATGGAACTAAAATTAACAATGTGCTAAAATGTTAGGGTGAATACTTTAATGTATAATGTATATGAAGGTATAATTAGATATATATGTAAATAATATAAAATTATGTATTATAAAACAATATATGTAAATAAATAATAAATACTTAAGTAATAAAAAAATATAACTTACTATTTCAGATACTAAAAATATATTTTTTATTTTTTTGAAACATAAAAATGCTTTCACTTATTGTTATACATATGTTTGTAATCCAAAAGCAATAAGTTTTTCCTCTTATATACTTATAACACGTACAAAATGGTAGTAGATATATGCATGTATGTATGTATATAAATATGCAAGTTATATATTTCTTCTTTTATATATTATAAAAGTTAGATAAATATATTTGATTTATTTTATATAATTTTTAAGATTTACATAGGGTATATAATATTATTTACTATGTATTAAAAATTATTTAATATTTTTAATAAAATTCTATTAAATAAATTTTTTCCTTTTAGTTTTTATATTTTTTCTCTTCTTTTTATTGTGTTGATTTTTAATATTATTTTCTTATATTTTTTATTCCGAAAAAATTGTTTCTTAATAAAAATAAAAAAAAAATTTTTTTTATTTGTTATTTTTTCTGGTCTCTACTATTATTTTCCTTTTATTTTTTTTAAATTTATCACAGTAGTTTTCCAAAAAAAAAAAAAAGCAAAAAAAAAAGCAGAAAATTTTTCTTTTCTTTTTCTTTTATTATACTACTACTTATTTTTGTTGTTGTTATTTACTTGTATATACATATATATGTTATATACATGTGTCAAAATATGCATATATATATACTAAATACATATATATAAAAATTTTAAAATAAAAGTTCTTTTTTCTTTTTCTTTTTTAATAAATTTTTTTGTTTTGCATTTAAAAGAGCGATAAATTTGTGATCTTCTCATTGAGAGATCGCTTGTATAACTAATATTAAATTTTTATAAAATCATGTATATTGATATCGGGAAAATATAATATGAAGAAATGAAAAAAGTATATGTATGTATAACAAAAAATACCAAAATATAAAATACGTTAGGAAGAAACAGAAAAAAAAAGCAAGAGAATCAGTTTAAATAATATAGTTATACTCTTCTAACACATACAAATTAAATATCAACTTTTTATACCATATTTTATTTACTTACATTTATTTTTCTAATTTTTCTATATAATATTATCCTCTTTTCTTATGCAGAACAAAAAAGAAGAGCAAAGTAAAACACAAAAAATTAAAAAGAGAGTATATAACAAAAAAAAAAAAAAAAACTCTCTGTCTCCGGTATTTTTAGTCAAAAAGTCACCACAACTACACACAAACACGTTCCTTTTATACTTTATGCATAATTAAATTTATATACATTTTGTGTCCATGTGTTTAATTTCTCAATTATTCTCTAAAGAGTATTTTATATGATTGTGTTGTGTGAGTGTATGAAGGGAGTAAAAAACGTTATAAAATTAAACTGTTTTCTTAAAAAGACTCTATTCAATACAAATATAAATTAAATATATAAAAAAAAAAAATTCCTACAGCCAAATTCAGAAAATCTCTTTTTTAAATGTATTGTATAAGGTCGCGTTCATTTGCAGTCTGCAAAATATAACCACATAAAGCCAGAAGAGAAGAAATAAGAAAATATTATATTTTTTAATAAAATGAATTGTCATTTTTGTCATATTTATACCGCATCCATATTCATTTTCTGCAATATTTCTGTAAAGTTAAAATGGAAACGGAAAGTCCATCTCCAAAATTATTATATATTTTATGTACATATGTATCTATTTATATCTATTTGGATTTCGGAAAAGAAATGCAATATATAGAAAATCTTCCATATGGTTTTATTAATCGGTTTCTTTTCGTACACTTTTTACTACTATTCCTCTTTTATTTTAAATAATTGCATGATATTTGATAAATGCAATTGTGTTGTGTCTCATATATTTAATACATAATATTTATTTACTATATGAAAGTATATATTTTATTAATGTATTTTTTTATATCTAAATATACAGCGATCGTAAATTAATGGCCCACAAATATTTTTTTTTTTTTTGTAATTTACGGTTAATAGAATTAAAAAGCTTTGTATAAAGAAAATACATTATAACAGAAAATTATTGCGACGATTCGATAAAGGAAAATTTGGTAGCACTTTTAGAAAATCGTTCGCCTAGGAATCGACAGATCATTGGTTCGAGTTTAATGTTCCAGTTGTATGAAGAATTTTTTTTCTTGAAAATAAACCCTTGAAGAGAAATTTTTGACAAGACAGTACGAATTTTTCAAAAAAATCATTGCAATGTACATCCAGTTAAATAATAGAATAATTAAGGAAATATAACAGTTCGCACTTACTTTTATTACGCTTACATCGAAGTTTCTCTACTAAATAAAAAAATTCGGATTTGCAAATTGTTTATTTGATATTCTCCTTAACAAATAACAAATTTAATTAATTAATAAATAGGAATTAAAGATTTCATAAAATACTACCCTAAATTTTTAATTTTCAAATTTATAACAATAAAATTTTAAAACTTAAATATTAAAATTGTTAATTCAATACAAAAATGACAGAAATACAAAACAAAGCAGCAAATTTTACTGCTTCTCCTTAAATAGAAAAAGAGAAAAAAGATTTTTCACCCCTGTTCTTCTGTTAACCATCTTGTTATTAAATTCATGTTCATATGTGTCGTGTGTATGTACAGCGCTCTCTCAAAAATACAGTAAAGAAAAAGAGAATTTAAAAAAATCTTCAAAAAAAATAAAAAATTTAAATAATGAGAGAGAGAGAGGAAACAGTAATATTGAAAATATTGAAAATAATAATTGTGCCGTTTTTTATATGGTTATATACATACATATAATATATACCACATTAATATAAAATAATTTTTTGATGGATAATAATAATATATTATTATATTATTATATTATAATTTATAATTTTGTATGAGTGTGTGTTTTGTGGAAAATCTGAACAACAAAACTATTGTACTCTTTTAACTATGATGACAAAATTCTTTTGATTACTTTTTATTTCCATATTTAAATAACTGAATGCGTATAATGAACACAACCATACATCCATGTTATATATATTAGTATAAGCATTATATACTATATATATATATAAGATGATAAAATTTATTATATACTGAAAATGTTATTTTATTTTAAGTTTTTTTTTTTACAAATAAATAATTACGTATGTATGTACTTGCATATTATAATGATTTTACGTAATCAATGACCATTTTTTTGAAGATATAAAAGGATTACGATTAATATTAATATAGAAAATTATTTTAAATACGGCTATAATATCTTTTCTAAGAAAAAGAGTATGTTCTTTAATTCTATATTGTATATAATTTCATATTTTTTACAATAATGTATGTACATATGTGTGTATGCTACTTTGAAAACTTGAAATGGAGAGGGAAGAATAAATTTCCTTAGAATGAAATAGAACGATGTACTCAAGTATATAAAATGATATATAATGTGGTATATAACATATAAAAGTATATATATACTATATACTATGTTATATACTTGATATATATGTATATATTTACGTATTTACAATAATTTTGTAGATAGTTTAAATAATAAATTGAAAATATTGTAGGTTAGAGATAAGAAATAATCTATTTATTTACTAATTTATATCATTTATTGTATACATACATTGTTTATGTACAATTTGGAATTTATATAATAAAATTTTTGAAATTAAAATGAGTTATTTTTATTACTTATGTACAAATTTATTTAATATTCCATGAGTAAGTATGTATGCATATACCTAATATGAAAATATATCAATATAAGCACATTCTTATTATGCATATGTATGTATGTAAATATTTATTTTAATATTCTCTTCTACTATTTTAATGAAAAGGAATAGGTACTATTTATTTCATTGAATTTTATTAATTTCGAAAAAGCTAGTAATTTTGTAAACTTTAAGAGCATTTAAATAGCTACATTTGTACACACATATATTATTTATATATGTATGTACACATATTTACATATATACTATTAATTATTTTATTAATTTATTTATTTTAAATATGTTAATATTTATATTATTATTTACATATTATACGTATATGTACATCTAAATATTTGTGAATAGAAACTGTATGTATGTATGTATGTACATTGCATATTATTGAATTATATCTACATACATACATAGTGTTTGTAATTTCAAAATTCTTCTATTTAAAATTTAATTTAATTTAAAAAACAATTCAATAATCGAAAAGAGATTTATTATGTGTACTCATGTATTTATGTATATAAGGATATATTCTATATAAAATAATATGCATTTTATTTATAGGTACATAAATGAAAGTATATAATGTATGATGATTAACAGATTTTTATTATGAATTTTTGTAATTTGTAGACAGTGACGTATCTATAGCCAAATATTATGTTATCATAATAATAGCTACTTTAATATTAAAATTCAATATTAATTTATTTTATTAAAATATAATAAAATATATTCATACGTATGTATGTATGTATGTAACTAATTATGAAAATTATGGACATAGATATGTTTTACATATTTTAAAACATAATATTGAATGTAACTATTTGTTCGTATTTATGACCTAATCAATAATGAGTAAATTATATTAAGAGAGTGAAAAAAATTAACATTAACAGTAGGTGCTTATATGTATATTTTATAATAAAATTTCTGACAATAGGTGTAAGGTGTAGGTAGGATAGATTAGGTTGTCGCGGCTTCCCGAAGGGTACACATAGGCCAACTAGGCCCGTTGTGGTACCGCCGGAAGGTGTAGGTAACATATAAGACAAAATTTTGGTATTCTAAAAATTAAATGTACCAGAAAAATTTTAAGAAAATAAAAAGGATATATTATGTATAAGCACACAGTACAAGTATATAAGATGAAATCAGGAAGGTATTTATGAATATTTATGCATGACATTGAATTACATTTAATAATATACGATATTCTAATTTCTATTGATTTTATCAACTTGAATGTTAATAAATTATTGAAATTGAGAATAAGTTTGTAAAAAATTTCTGCAAAATTCCAAAAATTATTTACCAAATATGTATACCTGTATACAGGTATAGTTTATTATAACATTTTTGTATTAATTATACATAAATATAATTGACCCTGAAATATTAGAGATATATATATAAATATAAAAGATATACTCGTACGAGTATAACAGATATAACGAAGTAAATAAAACCCAATATTTTGTTTTGTATACATTGTTTTAGATACATTTATGTATGAACATTTGATAGAGAAAATATATTTACTTAGTAAAAACATATGTATATATACATACGTTCATATAGTAACATTGTATTAATAAGGTTAATATGTATAGATTTTAGGTAATTTTAACCTACAAATATGCAAAATTTTTAAAATACTTAATATTATTAGGCAATAACTACACTTAATTATTGTTATATTTTCCTATTTAATTAATTTTTTAGTGAATTAAAC